ATGTTGGAAGTAGATATGAATCAAGACTGTCATGGGTTGGCTTGTAGAGGTCTAATTTGTTGGACAAAGTGGTGCTACAACACTCATGAGTGCTCATAAGTTCTGAGTATTGGATTCAACCCGTGCTCATTTGAAGCACTTCATGGATTTTATCATGAGTGATAATGAGACGATAATATCTTATATTCTTCAAACCTAGAGATATGAGTTGTTACTATGAGTTGGTTGTACATTGATTGCACGAAACCGCATTGGTAACTCGATGTTATAAAACGTGTCTTTGTGTATGATTCAACAAGTAGTAGAACAATCCATATGAGTTGAAGTTTATCCATTCCTTAACCTTCGAGATAAAAGCGATATCTGTGGGCCCTCGATGATTTAATGATGATACATGTGAGTGCTTGGCCAAGCCAGGACTGATTTGATTTGTTCAATCAGTCAGTCATCATAAATCGGAAATCGAGAAACAACAAATGGACAGAGAGAATGATTAATAATCCATGTCTCAGTCCATATGATATCTAGAATGGAGGAATATATGATCCCTTATCTAATGGACAAGTCATTGACAAAGGTCAGAGATCATCGGCAAGGTCAGAGTTCGACGGAAGCTTTTGAGAGGTACGATTGCCAGTTGGTTCTTGAAGTCATACGCAATAATAGTTTTAGACTTATCCAAGTAGGAGACTGTTGGATTAATGTCTAAGTCCATAACTATAATTGGTAAGACTTGACCCGACCCGACATTGTCCATTTGGGTTGCATGGTATCATGCATTTGGATAGACTATAATGAGAGAAATAACACATAAGATTTGTTAATATATTATAAGTTATAATATATTAATAAGATTATTTAATTAGTATTGATCAATAATTAATCTAGAATTAATTAAGTGATCAAAAGAAGACTAATTAAATATATGGGTTGATTGTGTAAATCATCCATACTTGTATAGTGGGCTAATGCTCCATGGATTATCAAGTTGGGCTAAAACCCATATGATGCTCCATGGTGTATTTGAACCCATGGATACAAGGAAATGAAAATCCATGACAATTAGGGTTTACCCTAATTGTAGCAACTATATAAGATCATATTCTTTGGAAAAAATCGGCATTATGAAGGAAGAAATGGCTAGCCGATTTTAGAAGTGTGGTGTTTCTCTCTAAGTCTTCCAAGTGCATATGGTGTTGTGTGAACCATTTGAGGTGTCACACTTGGGGCACTAGGCACTCAAGCTTCTTGAGAACATTCTACATCAAAGAGGTATGTATTCTATCTATTTATATTCATTGTTTTTCTATGCTAGATTAGGATAATACCTTAGATGTTCATATTTGCATGTATAATAGAGAAAACATAAATCCAAGGTATTTAGGGTTACATATACACTTAGGAGTGTTAGAATGCTCAAAACCCAACATAATATATATTATAAGTTTTTATATAACATTAATATAATCTACTTTTCTTATGTCCGATAATATTTTTTTGGATAAAATAAGAAATAATTTGTTTTGAATGAATTATTAATAAACAATATTGAACTAATAAACTTTGTGTTATACTATTTATATTACACCAAAACATCCAAGATTTAATATATGAACGTTCAAATATTAAACATTGAAATTAAGAATGAAGTCATACAAAATATATCATTATACATAAATGTCATCAAGAGTTTTAAAATAAGTCGATTAGTAAATATGATATTTAATTTTAATTACATATTTTGCAAGGCGTACGTTTGACTTGATGTTGGTGCGTTGAGAATCCTCTTCCTTAATTAGTACCTAAAAAATTAAGGTGAATAGGAATATAAAATAGATATTACTAAGCATTAATATAAATAATTAAAAAGGGTATGTGGATCTCATACTAGCGGTTAAAGACGACATACATCTCTTGTGATATCGATTCCTATGTGAAATTGAAGTAGTCATTCTATGTACACCTTGTTTTCTAATTACATAAACAAATATGAGTAACCAAACATAAAAATGTTATCTTTATATAGGAAAAATATTTTAATTAACTAACAAATTAAATAATATAAGTTTAAGAGTTAGGAGTTTCGAAATATTAATATTGTTATTAATCAATCAATATGTGGTATGGACTCGGATTGTCTATGTGCTATGACTCGTCTCCGTGATACGATTCCGGGATTTGACTATAGCGGTTTCACTAATAAGGACACCGCCCCCCCCCCCCCTAAATCCCATAAAGCTTTGGCGTGTGCCCTTTTTAGCAAAATCGTCCAAGATATGGAAATCAACTTCGATATGACTGTCAGACAGAAAACAGTCTTTGAGTGTCTACGGGTGCCTCATGCTCAGAATTTTCTGCTAACTATCCCTATTGATGGTCTTGGCCAACATATGTCTCCTGTGGAGTACCGAACTATCCTTCGTTACCGCCTCATGATTCCCATATTCCCAATTGACGAGATATGTCCAGTTTGTCGCAAGGCATGTTTGGATACCATTGGGGAACACGCGGTTCATTGTAGAGAGATCCCTGGTTTCAAGTATAGACATGATGTGGTTCGGGATGTTCTCTTTGATGCTTGTCAGCATACTGGTATATCTGTGAAGAAAGAAGCGCCAGTGAACTTTTTGACGGACCCGTAGGATGGCAGGTCCATACTTAGACTGGCTGACATTTTGGTCTTTGGATGGATAGGAGGGAAGCATGTGTGCGTGGATCTTATTGGTGTCTCTCCTCTCGTTGATTTGGGGAGCGGAGGTTTCGCAGCTAGGCATGTCGCTTTGAAAGTCGCTGCTTGCAAAGTGGTAAAGCACGAGAATGCATGTAGAGAAAATCAACATGTGTTTGTTCCTTTTGCATTCGATACATTTGGTTTTCTCGAACCAGAGGCAGTGGAGCTCCTTAATAGAGTCCAACGGGTCATGCATTCTAATGTCATATCTCCTAGATCCACAAATGTTGTTTTCAAAAGAATTGGTTTTGCCATCCAGATTCCAGAAAGGGCTAGCGGCGCAGCTTGTTACCCGTTTGCCTTCAATCGATATGTATTGAACTGACAATTACTGAAATTGTCATTGTGGATAGATAAGTTTTCAATATTGAACTTTTAAGTAAAAAAAAAAAATTTAAGTAACATATGTTGAAATTTTTATAATCATTATTAAAAGGCATTATAAATATTAGATTTTAAATGAATTTTGGTTGACGTGTTTTGACCTCTATTTTATATATATATATATATATATATATATATATATATATATATATATATATATAGAGAGAGAGAGAGAGAGTGAGAGAGATGGAAAATATAACATATGTATGAGTTTTAATTAATTATCCTTTTGAAACGATACAATTACAAAAAAAAAAAACATATTTAAATTATTTAATTTAATATCCAAAAGTGGTCATAAGATCTCAATTAAACACAAAAACGTTTAAGTTTGTTTTCTTTCTGAAATTTGTATATGATTTGTATGTATGTCCTCCCAAAAGATTGATATTTTTATAGTAAACTTATCACTAAATGCTAATTAAACATGATATAAGTTATAGAACTTTTGAGTGTTAAATCATAATTAAGAAAACTTTTGAGTTGCATTAGTTAAAAAAAGGATTTCAAATGAATGTGGTTTGAAGAAGTTAAAAAAAGAGGTTTCAAATGCATGAGATTCAAGAAAAAATGCTAGCTTTATAAGTATGTATGTATGATGATGATATGATATGATATGATATAGATATAGATATAGATTATTATTATTATTATTATTATTATTATTATTATTATTATTATTATTATTATTATTATTATTATTATTATTATTGTTATTATTATTATTACTATTATTATTATTATTATTATTATTATTCTATTAATTGTTTTTATTATATTTTTTTGTTTGAAAAATAAAATTATAAAAAAAAAAAACCAAAGTTCTTAAAATTTAATTCTCCAGAACATGAGTACAATTATGAAAATTTGCAATTTTCATAAAAAAATCCAGAAAAAAATTCTTCAAAAATTATGAAAATTTTAGGGATGCTTCTACTCATTATACTAGTGAATTTCTAAAAGAATTTTTTAAAAAATAAGTTTTTGAGTTGTTTATTTTTTAATTTTAGGTAATATTGTTTTTATAATGAATTTTTTTATCCAAATTCGAAATGCAAATGATAGAGTTCTTCGTAGGACTATTTTAGTGAGTTTATAAAAGAAAAACTTTTAAAAAATCATATTGTTAAAGATACAAACGTTTTGTTTAAATGATTTTAAATTTATATAAAAATTAGGATGTCAAAATTTTCGTTCTTCAAATCAAAAATCCATTTAAAGGTTTATCATATATCATTTTGAAAATAAATTTTCATTAATAAGGTTGTTTAGATACCAAACTTTATTTTAAAAGATTATATTTTTTTTAATTGAACATAATATGATCCAAAATGAGATGATTCAAAATATTTATGATTAAACATGTTTATGATCTAAAAATATTTTGATTCAAATATTTTATGATCATAATTATATCTTTTATGATTCAAAATTAAATGATTTAGAATATATATTGATCTAAAATTTGTTTTCTGAACAAATATTTTATTTAATTGAATATATTATTTATCTAAAATCATATGATTGAAAAATGATATGATCAAAAATAATTTGATCCAAAATAATATGATTAAAAAATATCATCCTCATTAGGACCATTCTTGCAAAGATTTTCAAACTTAGGTACCGTCTTTGTAAGAAATTCCTCATAAAGACCAAATTTGGTACATTTTACTAAACATAAAGACCATTTGTGTAATTTTGTCTTTAAAATCATTTTTATTTATTTTTACCCGTAATATTAATATCGTTATGTTATCTTAAAGACATAAAGCTCAAACCTAATTCTGAGCTTCTAGCCGTCTTCTTCTCCCAAATCAAAAACCCTAAACTTTCTCTGCTTCTTTCTTTCATTCGAATCACATCTACAGTTGAACCAATAGAGATGAGGCCATTAGACGAAGCCGAGACGACTCAAGTATTCGAGAAGCTATTCAAATTCACAGGCAACAATCTCAAGAACCTCGTCGATTCTCCATCACACGAAGGCCCCGATCAAAACCCAGGTCGCTATTGCTTCCGTCTCCACAAGAACAGAGTCTATTACGTCTCGGAATCACTAGTCAAACGCGCCACCAACGTGAAGCGAGAAAACCTCGTCGCCATGGGGACCAACATCGGCAAATTCACAAAAAGCGGCAAGTTCCATCTAACGATTCAGGCCTTGAATCTGTTGGCTGCTAATGCGAAGCATAAAGTGTGGCTAAAACCCACTTCGGAGATGTCGTTCTTGTACGGGAACGATGTCGTGAAAGGTGGGTTAGGCAGGATTACTGATAACATCAATGCGTATGACGGGGTGGTAGTGTTTTCTATGTCGGATTTGCCTTTGGGATTTGGGATTGCTGCGAAATCGACTCAGGATTGTAGGAAGATGGACCCTAATGGGCTTGTGGTTATTCGCCAGGCTGATACTGGGGAGTATTTGAGGAATCAAGACGACCTTTGAAGAAGAATTAAGAGCCCAATGTTTGGTAAGTGCGAGTTATTGGGCATTGTTTGTATGTGCTACCTCATGATTATGATATGAACTTGATAAAAAGTTATTATCTTGATTTAGTTTTGCAAGTTAGTCACTTGTTCTTTTTGGGTATCAAATGAGTTTTGTAGTTGAGTATCTAATTAACAATTATGGATTATGATATTGTTGATGATTAATGGTATGATCGTATAAGTCAAGATTCGTTTCAATTCTATACAAAATTATGGGATTTTCTTGCTTCAGTTACATTGCAAGATGAGATAGAACATATGATTTCTTGAATCATTTGTGTAGTACTGTAGTCCACGCTAGCTGTTTTAGGCAGTTTGACTTGCTAGTTCTGACTTGTATGTGTTTTTCGGATGATTGTGTATGAGTTTGCTTATTAGGTTAGAACTTAAAACCATGATCTTATTGTTTATTACCTGAGTTTGTATTCATATGGTTTGATTAATGAGCTGTTGGGAGAAGGGTTCTCAATTGTGAATGTTTTGCTTCTATTCACAATCATTTATGTGTTGTGCTCCTTTATTTACACTTATTCTCCAATAAGTAATAGAAGTTTTTAAATGAGTGTTTTTTAAGTACCCCTTTTTTATGTTATGACATGACAAAACAACTTTAGTAAACATATGATAAGAGAGGACAGGAGTGATTAGAAGGGTTTGTAACACACGTGCATTGGATTAACACTATTTTGAATTTTTTATGTCATTTAAGGTGTTGAATAAGTCATTATTTATTGCATATGCATTGTTCTTGCATGTAAGGTGTTGAATAAGTCGTTATTTATTGCATATGCATTGTTCCAGATTATGGGTTCAGGAGTCTCTAGTTATATGTTAATGGGTATAATGAGAATGTGACTATCTCTAGTTATAAATAAGTCATTATTTATAGACTGATTCCATGTTGACAAATAGATATAATAAAATGTGTATTTGTTGGAAAATATGTTTTGGGTTGTTAAAAGTTGGGAAATAATTTATAAGCAGCTTCTAGCGTTTGACAAAAAGCTCAGTTGCTTTTTATTATTCGGTTTGGTTTGGGTTTTGGTTGCTATTTCCACTATTTTGTTGAACCAAACAATAGTAAAATAAAATATAATTTTCATTTATATCATTTTATAAAATATGTTTCAATTTTTCTTAATAAAGTTTATAACTTTATATCATATTCTTTGTGATGGTTTTAATTAGTTTGTTAATTTTGTCTTAATCACTTCTTCAAACGTATATTCTTTTCAATTCATATCTTTTTTTAATTTGTTTGTTAATTTTGTCTTTTATCACTCCTTCAAACGTATATTCTTTTCAATTCATATATTTTTTTAATCGTAACTTGTCACTCTAGACATTCCATTTAACAAAATTGTGTAACGATCAAACAATATAAGAACAAAATTTTGTTTAATGACCAAACAATATAAAGAATGATAAGTTTCACAAATTTTCTTTTAATAATTTGGATGTTAAAAAATTGATTAAATTGAACCGAACAAATTGATAATCGATTAAACTGACCAAATAGAAATCAAAAATGGATCGTTGGAGATATATTAAATAACCAACTAGATTTTGAAGGTTCCTAAAATATTAATGACTATCTTGAATTAATCGATAATCGATTAAACTGACCAACTAGAAATAAATCAAAAGGGGATTATTGGAGAAACATTAAAGTTAGCCAACTAGATTTTGAAGGTTTCTAAAATGTTGATGACAATCTTGAATTAATCGACCAAATAGAAATAAATCAAAAGGGGATTACCGGAGAAACATTAAAGTTAACCAACTAGATTTTGAAGGTTCCTAAAATGTTGATGACTATCTTGAATTACTCGATAATCGATTAAACTGACCAAATAGAAATAAATCGAAAGGGGATTATTGGAGAAACATTAAAGTTAACTAGACAGATTTTGAAGGTTCCTAAAATGTTAATGACTATCTTGAATTAGTTCAAACCATGCATAGAACCATTGAAGTTAAAGATGAAACTTGAAAGACAGCCAAAGGTAAGAAAAAAATCAAGACTTGGTACAAGCCAAAAAGGTTTCTTACAAGCCATTATCAAGCCAACATTTCCTATGTAGAGTACTACGTAAAGAAGATAAAAACTGCAAAAATGCTCTATGTAGTATGTATTTTTTTTTTTTTTTCGGGTTTTGGTCCAAACCCTAAATTTTTTTGGATTGGTGGTCATTTAGAACTAGTTTCGTTGCATATTTGATTCCTCCGAATATTAAAATAACTGTAATACCCTTGGGGTATTTCCTTTCAAATTTTCTTTCACTTTTTTTAAGTCTAATACTTATTTAATTATTAAAATAATTAAAAAATAAGAAGGGCTCACCACCACCCCTCCTCCTCCTCCCCCCCCTCTCTCTCTCTCTCTCTCTCTCTCTCTCTCTCTCCCCCCACACACACACACACAAGACGAGTATTATCCTAAAGCCACGACTACTGTCGTCGTAAAGCCACCACCACCGCTGCCTAAATCTTGCTTATTAAGGAGGTTTACCTATTAACTGCAATCATTAAATTCAACTGGAATAACTTCTGAGCTTGGGACTAAGCATATGGATCTTTCGTTTACCTTGAATTAGCCACTGGAATGTCGTTTATTTTCTTGTATTTTGTAAGCGTGTGAGAAAACGATGCCCAAAACATTTTGGGGTTTATTTTTTATCAAAAAATTCACACCATTAAAAAATTTAGGGCTTGTTCTCAAACAAACCAAATGTAAAATCAAACCTGAGATAGAATAACAATGGTTGGATACTTCCCCACAAATTGAAATCAATCACATGTGTTGAGATTCTCTTAAAGGTGAACAGGGGCTCCCCTCTCAAACATTGTTTTTTATGATTTTTGAAGAACAGTGGAAAATAAAGGCTCTCTCTCTCTCTCTCTCTCTCTCTCTCTCTCTCTCTGTCACACCCCAAAACCGGAACGGCGGAAAAGTTCTGGGGTGGATGATGTCATGTCAAGTATCACAACATACGCAGTATAGTAATCAAAGTACAACAACCATTGCATTAATAGTAATAGTTTTACATGGTTTACATTACATTACAACATCAAAGTAATACAAGTAATAATATAGATGCAGCTTGGTACTAAACTGTCCTCATCTAAAAGCTCCCGGAATGTACCTGTCTAAAGTTGACCTGAGAATAGAAGTTATTTGAAAAGCGAGTATCAGCATTTTTTACAAATGCTGGTGAGTTCATAAGTATTTAGTGTCATTTCATCCAAATAACTTTATATAAGTAGTAGTTTTAAAGTATACAGTGAATTAGAGTCCTTTCCAGAAAATTCTATATTTTCTAATTAAAAGCAGTCTCCTACCAAGACTGGACAGAGTTATGTGGTAAAAATTAATTTTTCCTTAACACTATCATTTTGAACAAGTGGTATCGATTTTGAAAGAAAGTAGGAGAATATCAGGGAAAATAACATATGCCTCAGCAGTGAAGACTGTTGACTAAGGCAAAAGAAATCATAGACTCCAGGGGAGTATCGAATGAACGATACGCCTGGCTCAGTCTAACAAAAAGGGAGACGCAGACCCCAGACAGTATCAAATGAAAGATACATCTAGCAAGGTCTAAAAACAGTGAACACAGACCCCAGACAGTATCAAATGAATGATACGTCTAGCAAGATCTAAAAACAGTGAACACAGACCCCAGACAGTATCAAATGAATGATACGTCTAACAAGGTCTAAATACAGTGAATACGGTGTTAAAACCCGTTACCTTAAGGCCATGAATTATAAGGTAACCCCGAGATACTTGCAACCATACTAATAGACACTAGAGAACTTGACGCCCTGTAAGCATCGGTAATAATGTGACATATGTCACCCTTTGGGCTTGGTAGGCTGGGGACTGTAGCTAGCAGTCAGGGTGCGGGGGTGTCAATCCCATATAGATCTATACACATAATCCCCGCTCTCCCTACAAGAGACTCTGGTTACTATCCTGACAACGGAGAATGCCGTGTACTGAAGATGTATCTCGTGTAGTGAGATATGATGTGAAATACTGGACTAATGATAGAGACTCACAACTGAACCGACTAATGTAAACCTATATGTCTATGCTTGTATACATAATGTATAACTAATGATCAAACGACCTTCGGACGGGCATTCGATCCCACCAGACCACATCTCAACGAAGAAAAGGAAATAGGGCGAACTAGCCTTCCTAAATCCTTTAAACATTATTTATATAACTATACAATGCATAGGCATACATTTAACTAAGTTTAAGTTTTTAACAAAGTAGGAGTGTTTCACAAGGTATAAGAGTTAACGAATAGGGGCGTATCGTGAAGTAGAAGCACATCGTGAAGTATAAGCGTATTGTGAAGTATAAGTGAATCGTGAAGTATAAGCGTATCGTGAAGTATAAGCGTATTATGAAGTATAAGTGAATCGTGAAGTATAAGTGTATCGTGAAGTATAAGTGAATCGTGAAGTATAAGTGAATCGTGAAGTAGAAGCGTATAATGAAGTATAAGTGTATCGTGAAGTAAAAGTGTATCATGAAGTAAAAGCGTATCGTGAAGCAGAAGTGTATCACTAAGTAAAAGTGTTAACAAAGTAGTAGCATTAACTACGAGGAAGCATAACGAAGCGGTAGTATCTAACAAAGTGGGAGTATAAAACATGGAAGAGAACTTTGATGAAATCTTTGAAAAACCTTTATACTTTGAGAAAATCATTCATAAACAAGTTTTGATTATAACCTTGATAAAGTAGAGAAAACCTTTATTTAAAATGTTGTTGTAACACAGTTTGGAATAAAACATACAGCACGAGAGGCAATTTGAGAAAAGCTTTGAACACATAAAGACGTTTTAGAAAACCATTTACAGTATCATACTTGGTAAAACAGTTGACAGTGTAATGAATCCTTGTGCATGCGGGTTATCAATCACATGTGATTGATAT